TTTTTTTTTTTTTTTTTTTTTTTTTTTTTTTTTTTTTAATATTGATGAATTATTTGAAACACAGATAAGCAGGTTGGTTTGGTTGTACTTTGTGATAAAGCTTTTCGACTTGCTCGATACTGTTTTCTTTGTCCTTCGAAAGAAACAACAACAAATATCGTTCCTTCACGTCTATCATCACACAGGAATGACTTTTGGCACCTGGGTATCCACTAAATTCTTGCCTGGTGGTCACATCACCTTTATAGGTAAATCATTTAATCCTTTCACGAGATTGGGTAACTATTGTTACTATGAGCTTGCATGCCAGGAATATATGTCTCTCCTCGCAAATATTTTGTCCAATATGATAGTATAAATGAAATATCTCGCGTTTCCTTTATCAATCCTATTATTATTATTATTTTTATTATTATTATTTTGAAATCTTCGAGAGAAATCGCTTTACGATTGGACACGAAGATAGTAATAATAATAATAATAATAATAATAATAATATTTAAGGATTGACAAATAACATCGCGAGATATCATGCGAAAGAATCGATTGATTAAAATTTTCCGCATCGATCGAATATTTTTTAATAGGAAATATTTGTTACACCATATACAGGTACGATAAATTGTTTCGTTCACGTGATTATGTACACCTACTATCTGGCCGCTTCGTTACGAGTAAGCAAACCATGGTGGAAGAAATACGTGACCCAATTACAACTCACTCAATTTTGTGCAATATTGGTACACTTTATATTGCTGGCGTGGAGTGAGGATTGTGGTTTTCCGAAGTGGGTAGCTGCGGTGATGATTCCTCAAAATCTCTTCATGATCATACTATTCGGCGATTTCTATTACAAAGAGTATATAAAAAAGCATAAGAGTGCCACGAACGGTATTACTTCGAACGAGAAGTTAAAAAGTCAATAGAAATTTTGTTTTTATGCGTTTTTCAACATCATTGTTCAATCTGTGACACACTGAGAGATTACATATCGGAAATCAGTTCATCACATTATAGTTTAGACATTTACATTACCATCCATCACTATTTGGCGATCTTTTATTGAAAATATACAATAGGAATGAAATGATATATATATATTATAGATTATAGATTTTTGTATATTTTTGTATTAAAGATATTAAAAATTTTCACCAACATATTAAAAATATTAACCAACATCAAAATATAGCATAAAATATAGAAGACTTTTTTTTCTCTATAATAATATCTATAATAATAAAAAAACAAAATTTCGTTCTTATATTTTAGTTTTGCTTTAATAGATATGTTATTATTTAATAATACGTTAGACGAACAAAATACATGACAATTTATTTTAAAAATATATTTATTGTTTATATACATAATTATTTACATAAAAACGTGATATTATAAAAATTTTTTAACCTTGTTTCACGATTAATTGACTATATTCTTATGGACAGTAGTGTGACTATATTCTTATGAACAGTAGTGTATCGATATCGAAAATAATATAATGATTCAAATATTATAAAATTATTTGATTCACAAACTATCATGATATTCTTTCATAAAATTGATCAGAATTCAACAGTTTTTTTGTTTCGTTTTCTGTTGAAACTTATTCAAATAAAAAATGCTCTATAATGTGTTCTCTATAATGAAAACGATAATTCTTGGTCTTATTTACATTTATTATTCTCAATTATTTATCAATATCTTAAGCAATAATTATATGTAATAATTGCGCAAATTTTGATAAGTACAAACGTAATTATTGGTATATAAAATTATTTTCTCTATTTGGTTCTCAGACGAGGACTATTCTCTTTATCATTAAAAGTAGCTCAATTGCGCGAATTTCCACAGGAGAAGAATATGTGACGTCACATTATCCCCACTGTTATTGTTGGATGTATCACGTGACTAAACTTCCGCTAAAGCCAAATATCGCGTGACATTGATTCTGTCTAATCTAGCAGTGGTAATACGAATAATGAGATGTGAATTCTGTTATGCAAAATAATATATATTCTGTATACTATGCAGAAATTTGTCAGACAAGAATTAATTAATACTTTTAATGATAGAGAGAATAATATACTTTATTCATCCAATAATTCTGCAGAAAAGATAATTAGACTACGGAAATTTAGAGAAAATTTAAATTTAAACGTACAAAAATTTAGAATGCATATATAATATCCTAAATGACAAAATGTAAAATACAAATGTAAAATTTATTATTTTTTATTTAAGTTCCATTTTTTTATTCGTATTCAAAAAAATTTTAAAGTAATTATGTAAAAGTATATAACTTTTTTCTACGTTGTATGTTATGCTGTTTTGTTGTAATTTCCGAAATATTTACAAATTTTTTTGATAAACTTTATTTATAATTGGTGTTTTGTTCATGTATCGTATGAAACGTATCTTAAGGTTATTAAAATCGATGAAATGAAATCGCACTTTTAAATATTATATTTAAATTTGTTTAAAAATTCGGAATGACAATTATAACAATGATAATATTTGCGCTAGAAGCAAATTCGATATGACTTCTAACAATTGCGATATGCATACATAATTTGAAACATCTTTTTTACTTGAAATCAATATATATTATTATTTGTAAATAATATTTGTAATAAATAAATAATTAATTGTCCAAGATATATATATATAATCATTTATTTGATCATGTATTTGACCATTGTCATATAAAAAAATTCACCTAACCTAAAAATATTAATAAAAGTTGATATGAAATATCAATATTATATAGAATATATCAATATTACATAGAAATATAATAAATTATTCACGAAGCAATTTTTTTTTGATAAAAAATCTTTTTTAAGAAGATGAAATTAATATCAAAAGTTTCAGCATTTTTTCATGATTCGAATATAATTTTATGTGAAATATTTTTTTTTTTTTTTTTTTTTACAACAGAATAAGAGAACATTACATTTTGAACATTTTATAATTTAAAATATTGCTCTATTTTATACCATTGTAAAGTTATATTTAAAAAAAAACAAAAATGTATTGAAATATTGATTTCATAATGTTAATTAATTGTTTGTTAAAATAATATTTTAATAAAAACAATTGCTCCATTCAACATTGTTTTATATATTCATATTTTTCTTAAAAATGAAAAATTGTTCACATTTAAAAAATAAGGAAATATTCAAATAAATTCATAAAACACTATATTTATTGAAAAAATTAGTTAAAAAATAAATTACTTAAAAATTTTAATAATAAATTATAAAATTAAGTTATAATATATTTACATTATAAATTTGCTAAATAAATGAATATGAAAAAAAAATCAATATATGTAATTTATTATTTAATTTAAAATTTTGATTAATTTAAATTAATTAAAATGGTAATGTAGTCGATCATATGATGTAATAAAAAAATTATAAAAAGGGTTATTAAAAGTTATTAAGAATTATAAAAAAAATATAATATTATAATATTTATACACTTATAATATTTAAATAAGATTACGTTTTAAGATTTATAATTTAAGATTATAGATTTATATATTATAGTATTTAATATAATTATGCAAAATATACTTAAAGATATAATTTATTCATTCAATTTATTCAATTTATTCAATTTATTCAAAGATATTATTATAAGATAATTAAAGCAAATTAATTTTTCTTATAATTATAATGAACATTGTAACCAGTAAGGAAGAAATCAATAAATATATTCAACTTTTTTAGCAATGATATTTTATATAATCCAATAAATATAATCCAATAATCCAAATATATATAATACTTATTGTTTCGATCTTAATTTTTAAAAATTTCATTCTTTCAATAAAGATAATAAAGCTATCAATTTTTTATTTATTTATTTATTTATTTATTTATTTTAAATTTATAAGCATCATCAAATATATTAAATCATAATAAATGAACAAAAAAAGAATGCAAATAAATGAAACCATTATTAAGGATTAAAATGACAATAAAGCAAATAAAATATGAAAAAAAGAAATTATCATATCTTGAAATTACAGTATCACGTTCTGAAATAATACAAAACTAATTTTTAATTCTTATAAATTATCAAAAATAATTATGAAATTTATATATATTATAATATTATAATAATTAAATGTATATAAATGTAAATATTTCTCAAATTAATGATGATTTTCGACAATAAGTTAAATAAATTAATACTTTTTTGAAATATGACTAAAATGCAAATGAGTCAAAAATAATATAACCATTAACCATTAAAGAATGCATTTCTCTGTATCTATTATATATTTAAGAAAGCAATACTTATAAACCTCTCCAGCATATCAATCTATAATTAATTGTATGAAATATTTAATTTCCTATTCCATATGTAATAAATATGACGAGATTATTATTTTCCAACAAATGATCTCGAGTATTACTTTTATCTACATGGTATCTTAACCTAATATATTATGGAAAAAAATATGGAAATAAAAAAAAAAAAAAAAGAATGAACGTAAGACTGAATCAGGACTTGTTCGAAAAAGTCAACCTACTTATCTGACAGTTTAATGGATAATCAACAGTTCGAACGAAAGGTAAAACTTGTATGGAACAGGCATATAAAAATGTGCATTGAAGTGCCGTTATACTATGTTTAAAAATATCTATATCGATTACTTTATTTATAAAAATTAAAAAATAAGATTCTATTCTTAATTAAGATAATTTATTTAAAATTTTGAAATATATATATAAAATAAAAATTGAAAATTTTGTTTTATTTCCTTTATAATTATAAAATTATTTCTAAAAATGTTTAAATATATAAATTGTTTTAATTAGAAAAATTTAAAACTGAAATTATTTCTTTTTAATTAAAATGAAAAAAGAAGTATTTAACATTTTGAGATATATAAAATGATATATGAAAACTGAAATTATTTTTATTTTTTATGAAATCTCTAAGTTAGGAAATAAATAGATCTAATTTTAAATATTCCTAGAAAATATATAATAAAGTTAAAATATATATGAAATTCTATCTCTAACTAATATAATAATAATTTTGCAATGATAATATAATAAAAAGAACATTTAACAAAAAATAATGAAAGAAATAAAAAGTGGAGAGATTATAATTATTTTTTTTTTTTTTTTAGGAATTAATTAAATGATATTTTTAACTGAACAGTAAAAATAAACTCTAAAAAATTAAAAAACAAAAATAAAATAAAAAAAAAATTGCTTAGATTTATTATCCATTTTATCAGTTATGAATGTTAAAAATATTTTGAAAATATATTTTGTAAAAATAAAAAAAATACTAAATAGTATATTTTAACTAAGAAAACATTTTTATTTCACTATTTTTATTGTTTCTTACGATATTTTTTAAATAAAATTATATTGAACATACATCTATGACAAAATTGAATTCTGAATAAATGATATAACTTTTTTTATCTTCTTGTTGTTTTTAAATAAAATACCAGATAACAATATATATGATGCAAATATATTTATAAATTTTTTTTAATAACCATAGTTATAATAAATTCATATATAAATACAAAATAAAAAAAAAATTTTATTTCAATAATTATTAGAATCAGAATCTATTTTGACCTATTTTATCTTCTATTAAAATAATATTTTACTATTTTGAAATATATTTAAATAATAAAATTCAATATATAATAAAAAATTTTGTTAAAAAAATAAAAATACGAAATACTAATAAAAACAATCAAATATTTTTAATAAATCCGTATATACATGTTTCATATAAAATATAACCTTAACAGTTGTGTCGAAAATCATTGATTGATATATTATACTATATTTTTATATCAAGACTTATATCAAGAACTTCAATGCAGCAAAAAATATCGTGAATAATTTTATTCTTTTTTTTCATATTGTTAAATGAATTATTGTTACCACGAAAAATTTCGATTAAAAAATGTTTTTGCAAAACCTTCGTCCCGTTTTTGACCCCATTTCGCAAATTTCTTCCACATATTACATATAGTTGGCTTACTTTGTTCTACACCACGTTAAAAAGTTCTTTTAAGAAACCCATAATGATTCTTCGGTATTCGTAAGTGTCTTCACGCTATTGGTTGGATCGCAATTGTCGTTTGTATTCACGTGTAAACCTAATTTTGTAAGTCATCAATGCAGACGCTTGGCTATTTAAAAATTGTATTTGATTTACGACAAGCTGATCTTCAATGGCAAAAACATAACCTTAACAAATAGACACCATCGAAAAAGATGTGTTCAAGTTTCCGTTTGTTCCACTTTTAATTTTATTACAATGAATATTATAATTATGAAAGAGAAGAATATCAGAGATATTCTATGAACAAGATAAGACAAATATATATCAAATATTTTTGTAAAAAGTTTTTGAAATTGTTATAATATATCATAGATAAATTATAACAATTATTATATCTATAACAAAGATGAATTATGAAGATAAGATGAGTACCAAATATATTTTTGCAAAGAAATAAAAAAAAAGAAGTTTGTGAAATTGAAAATATATATATAAATACATTATAATTTTTTCTAATAAAAAAAACAAACTATGGATGCTAATTTTTTTTTGCAAAAT